TTGGTCTTCTCCAACCGCAAACAAATGCCTCTAACTCATGTTGCCCTGACCTAGCACCGACTTCCAAAGAATGAGAATCAAAATGGGAAAAGGAAATCTAGAAAGAAAAATAAACAAGTGATAGATCAACTAACCGTTTGTCCACAAAATTATAAATCCGTAATGAACATATATGGAGAATCAAAATGAAGAGAAGTTGTTGTATATACTAAATGTTTGTTCTCAAGTATGCATTGCTAATTCGAGGAAGAAGATTTGGGGATAAAACAAATAAGGGGTTCGGGCTGCACAATTAGGGATATCTGATTAATTAAAGGACAATTGTGGCGTAAACGCCGAAAAGGAACTACTCCATTATTGCATTTTTTACGAAAACGCCACTAAGGAACTATTCTATTGCATTATTTTTTAATAAACGCCACAAAATTAAGAGTATTTTATGGTTTTTTTAAAAAATGCCACTAAAATATTATTCTTTAGCGGCGTTTTTGGATACAAACGCCGCAAAAGTAAATCTATAACGACGTTTTTTATACAAACGCCACTAATAACCTTTAATTTACATAATATTAGTTCATTTTACAACTAATCATTTCTGCTCTACATCTACTAAATTCACTGATATATGTAGCTTTATATAAGTAACAACAACTATACATTTGAATTAAGACATTAGGTATGCTTAAAAATGCTTAACAACATAATACATTACAATTTAGAAACATTAGAGTTATGCATAAACAGTCTTCACCATATTGTTCAGTTGAATTTAGTTTTGGTCATTCGTGGGGAAAGGATGTAGGAAAGTTGTTTTCCTTGTTTGACGACACATCGTTAAGTTTTTCATCCTTGTAAACTCTATATGGATAAACTCTTCATCTATTTCACTAAATAAATCTCCTACCTCCGGTTCACCAAGAAGGGTCCTTGCGCGCTTCATTGCTTTACTTGAAACAGATAACGACCTTCCACCTATAGTATGAAACTTGATGTAGGTGGCTTGCGAACTGAATAAAAATTAAAATAAATTTAAATAGATGATATAAATGTTTACTTGGAGTAACAGTAGAGGCAACTTCATCTTCATTGAGGATAGATACTACTTTTGCAATTAAAGATTCTTTCAACGCCACATAGTTACCAAATTCAGTTCTAAACATCGGGTATTTATGCACTCCTCTATCATTGTTCTCAATAAGCTTCAAAGATCCTATATGCGTACGATCTATGAAATTTGACCGAGCGTAGAAAAACAAATTATAGCGGCTGAAAGATTCATAAATTATTACCTTCAAGAAGGAGATCGACCATGGAAGGGTATGGAGCAATAGGAGTTCTTTTCGGGTCATCATCGAGTTTCGACGGCGAGACCGGACCGATATCCTCCCAACGATAATTTGATCCATCATCAGAGCAAATACGCCACGTAGACATTCCGACGATAATTTCTCTTAGTCAAGGCAACACTTGCTATTTTTTTCTCAAATACGTTAGCTTTTTGGGTTTTTCCCATTTTCAGAAGACCAAAAAAATAAAAAGATCATTAATGATAAGAGGGATTAAACCGTGCAACTGTGTTATAGTTCGTCGGTGAGAGGCCCGATTTGGTCGTCGGGACATACAAACGACGACGTCGCTTGGAATCGTTTGAGAGCTGTTGTTATACCAGAGAAGAAGCTTCGAGGGAATAAGAGTTTAAATGATTTTAGGGTTTGGGTAGTTGAAAAGGAGGACTATATATTTAACATTTTGCGGCGTTTATACAAAAAAATGTCACTATTGATTACACTATTGTGGCGTTTGTTAAAAAACACCACTATTGATTAACACTATTGCGACGTTTCTCTAAAAATGCCACCATTGATTAACATTATTGCGGCGTTTGTCTAAAAACGGCACCATTGATTAACGCTATTGCGGCGTTTAAGGAATAGACGCCACTATATGTGTAATCTATTACGGCGTTTGTGGTATAAACACCGCTAATTTACCACTCTATTGCGGCATTTTGGCTAAAACGTCGCAAAATTTATACTCTATTGTAGCGTTTGTGGTATAAATGTCGCTAATTTACCACTCTATTACGGCGCTTTTTTGTAAAAACGCCGTTATATGTCAACTCTATTGCATTATTTTTACAACAAACGCCGCTAAAGTATCAATTTGTGGCGCTACGATTGTAAACGCTGCTATATGTTTAACTTTTGTGACGTTTTCTCTCCAAACGTCGCTAAAAATGCCGCTACATATCAATTTTTCTGTAGTGTACGAGAGTATATTTGTAAAGATAGTAGGTGATTGACATAATATTACCTGTAAAGAGTGCTCCACGAATCTGAAAGTTTACATAGATCCTACATTCACGTCCTCAAAGATTCGCACGAATAATATAATCGTTTATATTCATTTATACGAAAGTTCAAGGAGCTGAAAGTTCACAGATAGTAACACTTTTTAAAGCAAAACCATAATCCCTATCCTAGTTTTTGTCATTAATTATAGAAATCAAAACGAACCCTCAACTGAATGACACGAGTTCTGAAGAGAATCAAAGAACCAGTTTTCCCCCGTCGAAGCTGAAGTTTTGCGCCAACTGTTGTGGGTTTTCAACACATCAACGAATATAACCCTCTACTCCAAGTGCTACCACAACCTCCGTGTTGGGGAGGAGCAAGCGTCGAAGGCAAAAGCCGCTATGGAGAAATCCCTTGGTGTCCAAGCGAAAGATGAGATCGTCGTTGAAGAGAAGCTGCCTCACAAGAACAGGTTGTGGTCCTTTCCAGCGACAAAATCCCCAGAGCCGAAGTTGTCGAACAAGTGCTTCATCTGAAGAAAGAAGGTGGGGTTAACTCACTTGACTGGGTTCAAGTGTCGCTACGAGACTACATTCTGTGGTGAGCATCGTTACTTTTAAGCCATATATTTTGAATACTCAAATGATGGATTTAAATTAAATTAATTATTTTATATATTTTTTTAAATTTATTCAATTTATAAAAAAATAATTGATTTTTTTTAAATTGAAATAGAATCAAATTGATAGAATTTTTAAATATTAGAGATTTATTGGGTTATTTCAAGTTATAACCAATTTAATAGGATGTGCAAGTTTTGTGAACTAAATTTGTAACACCTCCAACCCGTACCCGACCCGAATACGTGTCCGAGATGTCACATTGACTTTTTAAAATAATATTCTTACCAAATAACCAAATATTTGAACTTATATTAAGAAAATACGATGATATATTATTGAATTATGTCCGTTATAAAATTTTAAGACAAATATATATTTATGAACAGTACTATACAGTATGAACATTACCGTGAACAGTCATGAACAGTACAATGAATAGTGCTATAGTGCATCGATGCATTGCTACAATCAAAATACATACTTTATCAATTACTTCTGATATGATCTTTTAGCAGAGTTGTTGTTCTTGCCACTCCTATTTATGCTATTCTTGGTTCTTGGTACCTACGTGTAAATCACTTACACGCTAAGTCATAGACTTAGTGAGGCATAATTAAATATATAACAATGAATTCATGAAACATGCACTCTTACCGTTCAATCGTAACATTATAAGCTGCATGTATCCATTACACTACAACATATATGATCATGTCATGCATATATGAAATTTATCATCTTATGCAAGTTTCACTTCACTTTATCTTTGTATTGCCCATGTACATTATTGAGAACATGAGGTAAATGAGTACACTGAGGTTGTGCACGAATGTTATTACACTTATGTCCCGAAGGACCACTATATATGTCCCGAAGGACCACTATGTCCCGAAGGACCACTGTATACCCTCGACTCTTGGCATGCCAATTATACATACAACTCTCATATTAAATAACACGGGCTTAAATATAAATACATTTCTCATTTTCATATATTTTTCATCACTTTTCATATAAACACATATTTCACTTCACATGTACACATATGATCATTTCCATTATTTCACATTCCTGTATTGATTCTCTGACAATTGTATTCTTTCATATAATATCATATTAAAGCATAAACAAATTATGCAAGAAATCATTGTATTCAATATATATATATATATGGATGCATGTACATGAATATGAAATCATGAATTCAACTATAAGAGATAGACTTATCGCAAGTCTTATCTCCATGCAATTCTATCTAGTATGTGTACTCACCTTAGCCTTGCTTACTTTGACTCGATTCTAATCCTTCGATTGTTCTGGAACATGATTACGTTCTATATCTACATAACAATACATTGATACAAATCAGTATACTAATAACATATCCTAAACTTTCATTTCTTAAACTAAAGGAAAGGTAATTTCATTGCTTATTTAAAGTAGATATCGGTACTTGTTGAATGGGTACCGATACCCCTGGCCCAGAGCTCACATTTTCAGCACATTAATTACTTCATTTCAGCTCAATACTTCATATTTCCTCCCCTTTAATAGTCCTAACTTACATACACATGCTTAGCCTCACTAATATTCATTTATCCTATCTTTACCTCAATATCCTCTCCTCTTTATAAAATTCAAGAATCATACTCAAATTTCAACATGTTCTAAATTCAATTCTAGCACTTCTTATGTCTTAACTAGATTGATGACAAGTCAAATCCAACTTCCAAATTCATTTAAACCCTCTTATTCAAAATTTCACTTTGAAACCCATTCTTTTTAATCTTCTATAACTTAAAACTCTTTGAGTTTCTAAGTCCCTTTTTCCTTCTATCATGTTTTCTAAAGCTTCATGAATCAAAACCATACTTGAATTTGAAGGATTAACCAAAAGAAATCAAACTTACCTTGAGCTTGGGTACTTCACGTTTGGGAGAAGAATAAGATGAAGAAAGAAGGAAGAAGGAATGAGAGAAATCTGGAAACATTTATTTCCTACATATGCCCCACGTGGGTTTATAAAATAACCCAATTAATATTTTATTCATCCACTTGTTCAATGACCCTTTTACCCTTTTACTCTTTCTTCATTTGCTAATTAATCCTACACCAACATCTTTCAATTAATTCCTTCACTTTTCAATTTATTTAATTTGGTCATTGAATTTAAAAATCTTACACCTAAATCACTAACCCGGTATTGAGGATATTACAAATCTCCCCCTTAAGAAAATTCGTCCCCGGATTTTCATTACACGAATAAATGGGGGTACTAATGCCACATATCCTCTTCACGTTCCCACGTTGATTTCTTTATCTTGTGATTTCTCCATAGAACTTTGACCAAAGGAATAGTCTTATTCCTTAGTTGTTTCACTTCGTGAGCTAATATTTGAACAAGTTCTTCCTCATACGTCAACTCCGGTTGAACTTCAATCTCTTTTGATGACACAATATGGGAGGGATCAGATCGATACTTCCAAAGCATTGAAACGTGGAAAACATCATGAATCTTTTCCATTTCAGGTGGTAAAGCTAATTGGTATGCCACTGGTCCCACTTTCTTAACAATCTCATAAGGTCCGATGAATCGAGGGCTTAACTTTCCTTTACGGCCAAACCTCAAAACTTTCTTCCATGGAGACACTTTTAAAAATACTTTGTCTCTAACTTGATATTCTATCTCATTCCTTTTTAAATCCGCATATGATTTCTGTCTATAAGCTGCTGCATTGAGGTTATTTTAAATTACTTGAACCTTTTCTTCTACCTCCTGAATCAACTCAGGACCAAGGATTTCTCTATCTTTAAGCTCAAACCAATTCAAGGGTGTACGACATCTCCTCCCGTAAAGAGCTTCATAGTGAGCCATTTTAATACTCGACTGATAGCTATTGTTGTAGGCAAATTCGGTAAGTGGCAAATATCTTTCCCACGATCCCTTAAATTCAATTACACAAGCTCTCAACATATTTTCTAGGATTTGGATCGTTAACTCAGATTATCCATCATTATGAGGATGGAATGATGTGCTGAAGTTCAGTCGTGTGCCTAATGCTCCGTGCAAGGTTTTCCAAAATCTTGAGGTAAAGCGAGGGTCTCGATCATAAACTATAGAAACATGTACTACATGCAATCGTATAATCTCCCTGATATATAACTCAACATATTTATTCATAGGGAAATAAGCTTCTATCGAAATAAAATAGGCTGACTTAGTCAATCTATCTACGATCACCCAGATTGAATCTCTTTTATTTGGAGTTAAAGGTAACCCCGTTACAAAATCCATTGTTACGTTCTCCCATTTCCACTGAGGAATCAACATTGGTTGTAATAGTCCCGACGGAACCTGATGCTCAACCTTGACTTGCTGGCAAGTCAAACACTTAGATACAAATTCTGTAATGTCTTTCTTCATTCCCAACCACCAATATCGACTCTTGAGGTCCATATACATTTTGTTTCTTCCTGGGTGCATTGTTAATGAACTACAATGGGCTTCCGTTAATATATCATTCTTTAACTCATCATCATCTGGAATCACTAGCCTCCCTTGATAATATAGGTTCCCATCAGCTTTCATCTCATAATCTGTACACTCTCCATTCCTTATTTGATGTAGCTTCTTTGAACACTTTTCATCACTTGCTTGCAATTCTTTAATTCGATCTAGCCATGATGGCTTGAGAGTCAATTCAACACAGATAGCACCATCTTCACTTAATGATAGTCTAGCATCCGTAGCTCGTAAGGCTGCAAACGTTTTTCGGCCTAAGGCATCCGCTACCACATTTGCTTTTCCCGGATGAAAATAAATTACAACATCATAATCCTTGAGAAATTCCACCCATTTTCTCTGTCTTAAATTCAACTCTTTCTGAGTCATCAAGTACTTTAAACTCTTGTGATCTGTATATAAATAACATCTTTCACCATACAAGTAGTGATGCCAAATCTTAAGAGCGAACACTACTGTAGCCATCTCCAGACCGTGCGTTGGATAATTCTTTTCGTGCAATTTTAATTGCCTTGATGCATACGCTACCACCTTGTCCTCTTGCATCAATACGTATCCCAAACCATTATGGGGCATGTCGCTATAAACCACAAAATTCTTGCCAGACTCAGGTTGGAGTAATACTGGAGCTTCTGTCAAAATATTCTTTAAGATTTCAAAACTCTCTTGACATTCCTAAGTCCAAACAAATTTTACTTCTTTTCTCAGCAACTTAGTTAGGGGTAATGCTATTATCGAAAATTTTTTAACGAACCTTCGGTAATAACTAGCTAACCCCAAAAATCTCTGAACTTCCGATACATTCTTTGGAACTTCCCACTCTAAAATTGCTTTAATCTTTTGAGGATCCACTTGAATTCATTCTATAGAAATCACATGCCCTAAAAATGTTACCTCATTTAACCAAAACTCACATTTCGATAATTTGGTATACAACTTCTTGTCTCGAAGAGTTTCCAAGACTGTTCTCAAATGTGCACTATGCTCTTCATTCATTTTTGAATACACCAAAATATCATCGATAAACACCACTACAAATTGATCCAAATAAGGTTGAAATATTTGGTACATCAAATCCATGAAAGTAGCCGGTGCATTTGTAACTCCAAACGGTACCACGATAAACTCATAGTGGTCATACCTCGTTCTAAATGCCTTCTTTGAAATGTATTTCTCTTAAATCTTTAATTGATGATAACCCGAACGTAAATCAATCTTCAAGAACATTGAAGCTCCCTTTAATTGATCAAATAAATCGTCAATTCGGGAAAGTGAATACTTGTTCATAATGGTCACCTTATTAAGATATCTATAATCAATGCAAAGACGCATTGATCCATCATTCTTTTTGACAAACAACACAGGAGCTTCCCATGGTGAGACACTTGGTCTTATAAATCCTTTATCTAACAACTCCTGTAATTGTATCTTTAACTCTTGTAACTCTGTTGAACTATGTTTTGATATAACAATTTAAGGCAAAATGGTTTTTGGACTTGAATTGAATTTACAAAATGTTTTTGGACTTAATTGAATTTATTCAAAGTTTTAAAAGGTTTCAAAAATAATTCAAAGTCCATTAAATTCGGATTTGAGCCAAAATGCTAAAGGGTGTCAAAGTGCATCCATGCACCCCTGCAGTGCATCCATGTATCCCTGTAGTGCATCCATGCACCTGCACTAGTGCATCGATGCACCATACAGTGCATCCATGCACTCAAACACCGAATGCAATTTGTGCATCGATGCATCCTTCTGTGCATCGATGCATCCTTCTGTGCATCGATGCATCCTGCTGTGTATCCATGCACGAAGGCTGCACTAGTAACTGCTAGTTTATTTGAATTTAATGAAGGGGTATCGATGCACCATGATAGTGCACCGATGCACCATGTTATGGGTAACCTTTTTGAGCAGAAAAATCATCCCCAAACGACTCCAAAACATCCCCAATGGCTATATACAATATCAAACACATTCCAAGCTATAAATACAAGCTAAAGACACTTGAAGAATAATGAGAACAACTATCCAAGCAATCAAACACAAGAGAAGAGTTGTTCATTCTTATTTCATCTTTCTATTGTAAATATTTTGTTCTTGTGAGCTCAATCTTGTAAACACCTACTTTTGAGAGGTTTATTTGTTTACTTCTTTTATCCTTTTGTAAAGGGGAAAGGTTCTAGCTAATCCCGTGTAAAAGCTAGGGAAATGTTCTAGTTTAGCCCGAAAAAACTAGGGAGTTTGTAAGGTTACTCTTTGTCCTCAAAAGAAAGAACAAATTATTGAATTTGTTGGAAAATCCTTGGTGAGGAGCTAAGGTAGTGGATGTAGACTTGGTTGAGAAGTCGAACCACTCTAAATTGCTGTACAATTCTTTATCTTTTAATCTCCTTACTCCCTAAACATAAAAAATGATCCCGACCCTCTTTGTAAGCAATTCCAGTTATCGATTCGAGATTCTGAAAATCCTAATAATTGGCATCAGAGCCTAACTCATTAAGAAGGTTTAACCACCTTGATATGATCCTCGAAGAAGCTCTACCAATTTCTGACGCAACCAACAAAGAAATGTCTTTTTCCTCCGATGCTTATTATCTTGAAGAATATCCTATTATGGATTCACAACCGGTCAACAAGCCACCTTTATTCAATAGAGCAAATTATACTCATTGGAAGAATAAGATGATGTAATTTATTTAATCTTACAATCTAGGAGCTTGGAACTCAATCATGGATAGTTACTCCTCTCCATTCGGTAAGTACAACGATTGGTGTAGAGAAGAGCAGAAAAATTTTCAGCTTAACTCTAAGGCTATACATATTCTATTATGTGCTTTAGGCCCAAATGAATATGGAAGAATCTCATCTTTTTCCAGTGCCAAAGAGATTTGGGATAAGCTCCAAGTCACTCATGAAGGAACCGACGAAGTGAGGGAATCAAAGAAAAGTCTTCTCAACCATAGCTACGAGAACTTCAAGATGAAACCCGATGAAGACATCAAAGCTATGAGGGATAGATTTTCTGTGATTGTCAACGGTCTCAAGGGATATGAAGAAGTAATCCCTAATGAGAAGCTTGTGAGGAAGATGATCTGTTTTCTTCCAAAGGAGTGGCAATCGAAGAAGACGGCCATTATCGAAGCAAGAAACTTAAAGTCTCTCACTCTCGATGAGCTAATTAGTTCCCTTCTCACTCATGAGATGATGGTGAATGAAGATGAAGAAAGGAAAAAGAAGAAAAACAAGAAGAAGAAGGAGGTAGGCATTACCTTCAAATCCACCAATGAAAGCTATCAAGATTCAAGTGATGAGGTGGATGAAGACGATGATGAACAAGAAGAAGAGATGGTCAAGCTCTTGAAGGAACTCAAGAGATTCATGATTTCCAAGGAAGTGAAACATGAATCAACCAAGAAGAAGAGTCCCCCGATATGCTTTAATTGTCAAAGAAAGGGGCATGTCAAGTATGAATGTCATCTTCTAAAGAAAAAGGGGAAGAAGACATTTGTTGCATCATGGAGCGATGAAGATAATTCCAATGATGAAGATGAAGTAGTCAACCTATGCCTCATGGTCACTCAAGAAGAATTCGAGGTATCTTCTAACTCAAATGAATTTAATTCAT